AGATTTGTGATAGTAATTCCCGCCATTGGTATAAAGTAATAATGTAGGCGGCATGTGCTGCTGACTGGTTGCCCTCCATCCAGCCAGTATTTCTAAATTATGGATGGCTATCCCTGAACCTAGGGAGCCTCTAACCTGACTGTTTAACTCGTGTGTCGCATGAGATACCAGTCAGATTGAAAATATCAAATACAATGACTTGAATGGATTATAAAGTATACAATCATACAGGAAATTTAGGTCAATCAGTAACAAAAAATCGTACACCGTGGTCGCCGTGGATACAGAGAATACTGGAAATAGACAACTTCCGGTATGTCAAAATACACACAAAAATGGCTGTTACAAAAAAAAGTACGTTTTATGTAAATACAGGATGTATAAATACAAATTTAAATCATCGACTACCGGAAGTTAACCCATTTTCGATGGTGTTTTTTTTATTGCAATCTTTCCTTATAGTTTTAAAAAATTATGATGTTCCTCGAGTTAACTGAGGCATGGCGAGGCTTAGCTCAAGCAAGAAGTGTTAAAAAAAAAACACCGTTTCGTTCGCGTGCGTAATTCGCTGACCCCTACTTTCACGAGTATGGGCACGATTTACGTTTCCGGTAGGCAAGCTGCACGACACACGTGGCACGCGACCTTCTGTTAGCGCTTATCAATCGATTGAATTCCACTGTAAGTAAAATATTTATAGAAAGTGTGGATAAGTAGGACTCATCACTGATTATACCTCTGCTTGCAGAAGGAAACCAAAACCTAAATTATTCGAAACAAATGTGGCATATTACACTACTGATACATCTTTGAACTAGAATTCAGGCTATTTATCTCCAAATTATTCTAGTCCTACTATCTGAGACTATCAAAACTTTCCAACCGAACTAATTACGTAAAAAACGCACAGATACATTTATGGTTGTTTATACCTCTACTAGGCGGCACAAGTGAATGAAAATATAATAATTTTATGTAGTCATACTTTACATAATAACTTCCTTTATGTACTAGTTCAACAGGAAAAAAAAAAACCCGTTCTACAGAAAAAAAAGACGCGGGAAGGGATCTACTAAGAGATATGTTTCCTACAAGTTCATTATTATTATTATTTTAAACACAACTTTAAAAGATTAAGAGAGCTGGTGAACTACCTTTCTCACGACAAGGGTATTTGTTATCATGTGAATTATTACAGCATTCTAACACCATGCCCACAAAAATAGCGGGTTTCATTTAAAAGTTTGGGAACAATTGATTAATAATCACGTATATTTCAAAGCAAGGCTAACGATTAATAAACTAAAATGGAATTTTTAGCCTGAACGACACGTTATACCGACCACAACAGGCTTAGCCGGTCCGCATTTTTAACCACTGATCAAAGGGAAGGCAGACAGACATACAGAAGCACCCATCGCCACAGAGGGGTTTTCTCCAACTTCTTGGAGTGTCACTCTTATAACATTCCCACAGTGTGTTATAGTGTGAAGCGTGTTCAGTGGAATGGAGTCTCGATCCTCGGACCTTTCGACACGGTTAACGTTACGCTTGGTCCTTTTTAAATATAAGAACTGTTTGTTTTGAAAGGTTAAATCCATAAAATGCCTTAGAAGAATGTTTTATCACTTTATTACACGAGCGTGTATATTTATTATTTGTCTTTTAGGGTTTTGAACCTCACCCAATTTATAAACACTCTGGGAGAAATAACGTGGAAAACAAACGTTTATTGTCGTTCACAAACAAAACCAAAACTTAAAACAAAACTAGTACCTCACCTGTCGTAGATCTAAAACTTTTGGTTACAAAAACCTCCTTTGGAAGAAGTGACGGGGTAAGTGACGTCATCGTGGATACTTTCACGGTTGACGGTGCAGGTGAGGACGTAAATAATTTATGGTACAGAGTGGGAGTTGTAGTAGACGTCACTGGCAAACTAGGGGGAGTTGAGACGGAAATAGTGAATGGCGTGACCTGGGTAGTTCTGGGTCTCCAAGGTGGAAAGATAATGGGAAACCTTGCAGTTGTCATGGTATCGGTTGTCATAGAAACAGTTGTGCCTCGTGCTGTGAATTCTGGAAAGTCAGGCAAACGCTATTTATAGGAAGAAGTAACTTGAACAGGAAATACCAATAATGAAAACTGTGAATTTCAATAGTCAAGTGAATTAATAGTATATGACATGCTGGAGGGCAGCGCATAATACACGTGCATATATTAATCATGGGACAGTTAAGCTTTAATTATTAAATTTGTGAAAACGGGATTCGGCATGTCTTGTACGTTAAGATAGACGAGGCTACCGATTAAACCAGATTTCTGATGTTCGACAGTTTAAGCCTATTCTTAAGACTGAATTTCTATGTAATTGTACTACTGAAAAATAACAAAATCACAATTTTTTAAATCGTAACTATTGCAAAAGTTTTCAAAACTAGTCTTCACACAATTTAATTAGAATTTCCAATAAGATCATCGAATATATCAAGCCACGATATGTATAAATTAGAAATCAATCGTGAAATAAACAATTACTGTATTTTTGTTGTTGTTGTTTTCTTTATACGAAGTCCTCTGGCGAGACAACGATAAGTTTACTGACTTACAACGATAAAATTCGAGGTTCGATTGAAGCCCTATGTGGCTTTGCTGTAAAGCAAACAAACAATTAATATAACAGAAATAAAATTAAGAAATACCTGATAGGCATTCATAATGTACTTCTAAGTACTTGAAAGTTCCTGGACAGGGATCTCCAAAGGTGGCGCTCGTGACGTTAAGACTACAGCTTGAAGTAAAGGCACATCTGGGATAAGTAAAATAGAAAAGAATTCACTTTTAAAGAAGAAAAAGGCGTATAGCTGTGATAGATAAAATAAAAAGTGTTCGTATAAACATTCTGTTGTTCATTAACTGATACTCTATAAAGTTATAATTTACTACCATGTGTAAGAAAGTTCACAGATGAGGATTACCCATAGGTGGCGCTCGTGAACGGTGAGGTAACAATGTAAATAGCGGGAATTTAGCTAACGGTTGTGTATTTCAGTCTACAAGTAACGGCTGTGACATCCACATGGATAATTTTTCTACCGCAATACATAGATTAAGAAAGATAGGAACAAACCGAGTTTTCTTGCTTACAACTCTCACTAAAAAATACTGAAACTAGCTATTATTTTGAAGAATGCCCTACCAATCAGCTTGTTACACGTGTATTAAAATACTTGGCTCGATTTTCGAAAGTGTTGCTCAACAGAAAGAGAGAAAGATTGGGTTTATATAAAGATATTTTAGCATACCTGCTTCTGAACCGGTCATAGTATAGTTTTTAGCGAGTTAACTTGCGGTTTGGAGGGTCCAAGGTTCGAGCTGCGATATTGCCGCTGAGTATGCTTCGCAGTTTCATCTACGGAGACGTTACAAAACTGACAGTCAATCCCATTATTTAGTTCCAGCAGTAGGCGGTGGATGTTGCTAATCAGCTGTCCTCTCTAGTCAGTATTTTAAAATTAGGTACAACTATAGCTGACATAATAAATAAATTTAGTATTCCGAAAACTGTTTTACCTCGAAGTCTAAGTTCAAGGGAGATCCAGTTTAATCTACACTTTGATCAACGTGTGTTGTTGGGTTATACTAGTTTCAGAGAATTCCACTCCTCATCAGTAACCCTGGACACAAGTTAACCAAAGAAAGATAAGTTGGACTTATATCATAGTGAAAAGTATCAAACATACTGTTGGTGTGAACGTGCTTTGTAGTCATTACGAGAAATACCTATACACTGGATAGGTGAGCTATAGTTTACGTTTCTGTGTAGCCCATGTACGTACGAAATGTTGTTCAAGTTGAAAACACCAATACAGTGTTTTTTAACAGTACTAAAGAAGGTGCCCCCACCCTCAATGGCTCAGTGGTAAATCTGCAGGCTTATAACACTAAAAACAGGGTTTCGATACCCGTGATGGGCACAGTACAGATAGCCAATCGCGTAGCTTTGTGCTTAAGAATAAGCTAACTAACGAAACAAATTCTAATTTATTTTTGGTTTTAAAACTTGAATTAACGTGACTTGTTTGCTCTTGTTGTAAGAACAAACAAATATTTAATTGTGTCTAATGTAAGTTGAATTAAACCGTTTATTCATTCAGATGTCTCTTGCTGCTGAAGTTAAACTCGGTTTTGGTTCGGACAGGTTGTTATTAATCACAAAGCTACACAATGGCTTATCTGTGCTCTGCCCACAACAGGTACCGAAACCCGAATTTTAGCGTCGTAAGCCAGCAGACTTACCGCTGACGGAAATGTCTGTGAAACAACAAAAGTACGACGTTTGAATTCAACATTGTTGCTTACGGAAGGCGTGTTTTTTTTCCAATTTTTTTAATAGATAAACATACAAGTATCTATATAATAAGATTCAGTGTCTGTATGTGTGTCACGTAACTTATCCTAAACCGTTGGTCACACCGACTTCTCAGTGGTGCCAAACAAATCGTCTCGCCCCCAAGGTCTGCACAAAAGGGACCAGGTATTTCGCAAAAATACTTTTGCGTGGATTCTCCGAAAGCAGACTCCAAAGGTGGCACTGATCTATATTAGAGCACGTAAATAAGTAGGCCTACTAATTAACGTTCGTAACTTGGTTAAAGAGATTAAACTTCATTGAACTGAAAGAGTACAAAATAGTAGTTCATACATTAAATTTGAATTATAGTGGCCCTGTAAATGTGGGTCATAAGTCCATGGGTTCGCTAGGTTTTTAATAAATTCACGACGCGTGATTATTTAATTCATACTCATATTCAGCGAAGCGTCAATAAACGTTTGTCTGATTGGCTAATGCTTCAGAAGGTCAATGAATTCGACGTCATGAGTACCTACTTCCTTCGTTAAAACAACATTCATAATCCAAAATGTATTAATTATTTTCATCTTTCAAACATGGCAGGTTTATTTGCTCGTTAATTTGTTTAAATACATGCTAAGACATTTTGCACGTGATCTGATCATAGTTTGGTATATTCATAAGCTCTGTGTATTTAGATGGCAAACTAACTTACGTATTTTATAAGTAATAACTTATTCCATTTATCTTTGTCCTCCCTCCCCCCACCCCCAGTGGCACAGCAGTAAGTCTGACGGCTTCTAGCGCTAAAAATCAGGTTTCGATACCCATGGTGAGCACAGCACAGATAGCCCATTGTGTAGCTTTCTGTTCAACTACAAACAAGCCTTTCCCTCTATAGTTAGTTTCGTTAGAATTGGTTGTTGTGTTTATAATAATTGTTATATTTTTAATTATAATTACATTAAATTTAAATTGTTGGGTTAATATGTGGGCTTATAACTTATTACAGCCGAAAGTATTGTTGACAACATGGGAATAACTTGTGGATTTCGTATCGTTACAGGTTTGAGTTTTCTGTTTCATGACATTTAGCAACAAAATAATGATAAGATGCAGAACAACTAACCTTTCATAGAGGACATAGTACGACCTTTCAACACTTACAGTAATAAGACAAAGAACAACCAACCTTTCATAGAGGACATAGTACGACCTTTCAACACTTGCAGTAATAAGACAGAGGACAACCAACCTTACATAGAGGACATAGTACGACCTTTCAACACGTGCAGTAATAAGACAGAGGACAACCAACCTTTCATAAAGGACACAGTACAACATTACAGCACTTACAGTAATAAGACAAAGAACAACCAACCTTACATAGAGGACATAGTACGACATTTCAACACTTACAGTAATAAGACAGAGGACAACCAACCTTACATAGGGGACATAGTACGACCTTTCAACACTTGCAGTAATAAGACAGAGGACAACCAACCTTTCATAAAGGACACAGTACAACTTTCAACACTTACAATAATAAGACAAAGAACAACCAACCTTACATAGAGGACATAGTACGACCTTTCAACACTTACAGTAATAAGACAAAGAACAACCAACCTTACATAGAGGAGATAGTACGACCTCTCAACACTTACAGTAATAAGATACAGAACAACCAACCTTTCATAGAGGACACAGTACAACCTTACAGTAATAAGACAAAGAACAACCAACCTTTCATAGAGGACACAGTACAACATTACAGTAATAAGACAAAGAACAACCAACCTTTCATAGAGGACATAGTACAACCTTACAGCACTTACAGTAATAAGACAGAGAACAACCAACCTTTCATAGAGGACACAGTACCACCTTACAGCACTTACAGTAATAAGACAGAGGACAACCAACCTTTCATAGAGGACACAGTACAACATTACAGCACTTACAGTAATAAGACAAAGAACAACCAACCTTTCATAGAGGACATAGTAAGACCTCTCAGCAGCACAGTCGACACTCCAGTTTAACTCTGCTTCCTTGTTACAAATAGTAATGCTGAATCTACCATAATTAGCACGAATAATCTTGATTGAGTTGTCATGGCTACAAGATAACTGAAGTACGGTACCCTCACAGGCAAAGGTTGTAAGGTACTTCCTCTCTGTCAAAAAAAAAAACAACAAACAACAACAAAAGTTAATAAGTTTTCTTTCTCAATTTTAATTCGACAAAAATTATAACTACTGTAAAAATCAGTTCATGCAGAAACGAATTCAACGACGCAAGATTGTGATTTTGTAACGCTAAACCTAAAGTAAAACAAAACAACAACCGACACAAATGAGTTGGATGATGCAGGGACATAGTTCTAAAACTAAAGAAAGGAAAACTTCGTTCAAAACCGATTTTAACGACACATTTGGATCTAGTCGATCTAACGTCAAATAATATCTAAGTTAAATCATTTAACCTCAAATGAAACAATATATATTCAAGGTTATTTTTAATCTTCAGTGCCGGGCGTATCCTAGTAGATATCACGTTCAGCTGTGGATCGAAAATTTCTATGTTCAAATCGTGTAGTCGTTGATCACACTCTGCTCTGTCAGTTATTGGTGCGTTATAAAAGTGACAGTCGCTCTCGTTATTTGGTTAAATAGGCAGGACAAAGGGTGACAGTCGCTCTCGTTATTTGGTTAAATAGGCAGTACAAAGCCCTTGTGGCGGCGGATGTTGGTAACTGTACGTCACCCCTTTCAAAATCAAAAACAGCTAGAACTTGAACTCTTGGAGTCTCTCACCCGGATGTTTAGCTCACGTGCGCGTAAAGTGCTGATCAGTTTCAAAATTCCATTTCTTAATTCTCCATACTCCACCTGGTGAGAAAGATACGTGTTGTAACTACTGACTGGTTTGTAACGGCTGGAAACCATCCCTGAAAATTGTAAACATCATAGAAAAGAATTAATGTATCTTAATACACGTTAGTTCCATAATCCCTAAAAAGGTTTACCCTTGGTGGTAATAACTAAATACGGAAAAGGGTTATCTGAAGAGTATCTTAAGTGGGAAGTTAGCTTAGTAAAGTAATGGTTTCTCCTTGTTGTGTTTGGTGTGTGCCACCAAAGACTCATTAAGATGCAGAAAGCCTATTAATTACTGTCGAAAAAGCAATAGTAAATCAAGCTTTGTATGATCGCATATACTAATGTATCTTGCTTACTAGCAGTATTTCAATTGGTATCCATCCGGCAATAAGTAGGAAAATATTAGTTCGTCAAGAAATTAATGTCGCTTTTATATATATATATATATATGAGAAAACTCGAACAACTTAAATATCAAAACAATTAAATGAAATAGTCTCCATTCTTATCAATGATGCTTTCCCATCTTACAATCAGGTTGTTAATGCTTTGATTAAAGAAATCACTTGGCTTTGAAGCAAAAAATATGTCGATGTCCTCTTTAACACCTTTCACATTTTCATATGTTTTCCCATTAAGATGGTGTTGCAGTGAACGAAAAAAGATG